TATGTTGGAGACCCAGGTTTAATCCCCAGCACTGCATGATCCTGACCGAGAGAGATGCTCAAAAATATTGAGTCCAGAGGAGTTCCTAATCATTGCAAGATATGGCCCCAAACTGAAAACTCAATGAAATAAACACCATCAAAATGATCAAATTTGGACACACACATGTCAGAGCTTCCTCCCCCGCCACCCGCCCGTGGTGCCAGGGATGAGAACCAGATCCTCTGGATGCAAAGCACATGCTCCACCCCTTGGAGTTACATCCCTGTTCCCTACAGTACTACTTCAATGGTACATGGATGTTAGCTCAGTTTTCGAGCAGATTTCAATGAACGGAGAGGAGGAGGTGGTAGTTGGCCACCTTGTGTTAGGAAGCACTCTTCTCTCAACACTGATGCTCAGGACAATATTCCTTTCTATTTACTGAACCCATGCGTCTTTGATCTTTATTATTCCAAGGAGTCTTACAGAACGGACAGGCAGTCAAAGAGGTGAAAGAAAAGGAGGGTGGATTTCATCCTGAATCTTGGGGACATTTTATTATCACCAAATCACACTGAATCCTCTACAGAGGGATGTGCATAGATACAGGTGGATTTCTACAAGCATATCTGACACAAATTTATATAGATTGCTCCCCTCCTCTTCTCCTTAGGGAAGATATCAGCAGGAATAATTACAAAGCTCCATTAGGAATGGGATATTTTTGATTTCTGCTATATATTACAGGACTTTCTAGAATTGACATCAGTTCTTAATTTGCTTTTCAAGTTGTATTCTTGGTCATCATCTTTTCTTTTTCTTGTTGTTATTTTCTTTGTTTTTTTGGATTGCTCCAAGAGGTGCTTGGGGGACCAGATGTACAATGGGATTGAATTGGGATAGACTATAGGACTATTTGTATAGGACAAATGCTTTACCATACCTACTGTACTATCTCTCCAGCCCCAGCCCAGGCTCCATTATTCTGGTATTCTGCTCTCCTTAGTACACATCCACAATCAAGGTTACCTCTTTATTTCTTCTTTCTTTCTCTCCCATTGTTGGGGCTTTCTCACACATGGAAGACTAGAGCTCTAGTCCCTGAACTACACTATCAGATTTTATTATCCTTAAAAAAAAATTGGGAGCCAGAGTGATAGCACAGCGGGTAGGGCATTTGCCTTGTACACGGCCAACCCGAGTTCGATCCCTGGCATCCCATATGGTCCCCCAAGCACCGCCAGGAGTAATTCCTGAGTGCAGAGCCAGGAGTGACCCCTGATCATTGCTGGGTGTGACCCAAAAGGCAAAAAAAAAATTGGGGGGAGCCACACCCTGTGGTGCTTAGGGATTACCCCTAGCTCTGCATTTAAGGATCAAGAGAGATGCCAGGGATCGAAGCTGTATGTGCCATGTGGAAGGCAAGTGCCCTCAACTGCACTATTGCTCTGGCCCCTGTATGTCTTTTTTAAAATCACATTATTTACTAAACATATATTCAAGGTATTCTCCAAACATCCATATTTCCTAAACATATATCCAAGGTAGGTATTATATTTTACAGGTAAGAAAACTGCATCTGAAAGAAATCAAATAATTATTCAAGACTACATAGTTCAGTCATCAGGCTTTGAATTCTGCTAGTTGTGATATGAAATCATGTTGCTTCTTTCAGGCAACTGAAAGAGCTAATCAGAAAATACACCATTTGTAATATTTTATAAAATTCAAAGCATGTTATAAAGTCATGCTTGCTTGCAAAAACTGACAGTTTTGATTAATATTAAGAATTCAACTACTGCCTATTTTAGGTAGCTGGAAAAATGCACAGAAACTTGTTTTCTGAAGGGTATACCTAAGCCAGTCTTGGTTAAGCATACTTTAAAAAGAAAACTCAATAAATTTGTTGCATTTTTCATTTAGAATGATACATGAAGCAATCGAAATTGAAAATGATAAACAGAAGTATTCGCGGTTTGGAAGGAGTATGTAATTCCATATTATGTGTGCATGGTGGGGAAGGAGAAGGTACTTAGAGTTCAGTAATTAACCTACCACTAAAATAACATGCAAACTTTCTATGTATACATTTGGACAGATAAACTGCATGAAAAAATATGAGCATGAAAAACACAAATTTTTCTTTAAAAATAGTTGAGGGGCTGGAAAGATAGCACAGCGGGTAGGGCGTTTGCCTTGCACGCAGCCGACCAGGGTTCGATTCCCAGCATCCTATATGGTCCTCTGAGCACCGCCAGGAGTAACTTCTGAGTGCAGAGCCAGGAGTAACCCCTGTGCATTGCCAGGTGTGACCCAAAAAGCAAAAAAAAAAAAATAGTTGAGACCGTTGGAAAGAGCAACTAAAGATGACAATATATTGTAAGGAGGAGGAACATGGATGGCAATGTGGTTGAGAAACATCTGGTGTTTATGTTTTAAAAATACAATTACTTATTTACAGTTTTACAAAAATGGAATGAAAACATTTTAGACTTTTGCTTGGTGAAACTATTTTGAGTGGAGAATAAGAAGAACAATGGTAACAAATTGATAATATTATGATAACGCAATTATGGGATTATATAGTCTGAGTTATTGAGACAATGTATGATTTTGTAAACCATGGTGCCTTAAAAATTAATGAAAAACAATCTTCAAACATCAACTATCACTTTCTGTTCTTTTCTCTAATATGTATTCATATACATATATATAATTGTATTTAGGCATTGTGATTTACAATTGTGTTCATACTATTTATCCATACAATATTCCAACAATCCTAATACCAACATCAACTTCCCTTCACCACTGTCTCGAGGTTCCCTTCCCCACGCCAGCCTGCCTTCTGAAGAGACACAATTTTAATATTAATTATTATAGCTTGGGGCCTGTGCATCATATTGATGGTTCTCTCTCTCTCTATATATATATGTATACATATACAGATATGTGCACACACACATTCCACACCTCTATACCACCAATGTGTCCAACGCCCCTGTCACCTCGATGCTGACTCTTCTTACATCTCCCCTCCATTTCTTTCCGCTGGCCTTGTCATTACTGTAATCTAAGGTAATTTAAGGTTAACTAAATCCAAGGATTTGCCCCACTCTGGCACCTTATATTCGGCTGCCATGTTATTTTGTATACCGCAGATAAGAGAGATCATTCAGTATGTGACCTTCTTCTGACTTCACTTAAGCTGATATCCTCGAGTTCTATCCAGCAAACTGCATGATTTTGTCATTCCTTGTGGTTGTGTAATATTTCATTGAGTATATACACTACACTTTCATTATCTACAAATCTGCCTTGGGCTAGATATTAGAAGTGGGATTGCTGGGTCCTATGAAGCTCCACCTTTACTTTTGAGAAACGTCCATACTGTTTTCCATAGGAACTGAACTAGATAGCATTTCTGCCAGCAGTGTATAAGAGTTACCTCACAGTAAGCACGCAGGTTGTTTTCAGACTTTTTTGATATGTGCCTTTCTCACTATGTCAGATGGTATCCGATTGTTTGATTATTTGTATTTCCCTGATCATAAGTGATGAATACTTTTTCATATATCGATTGAACATTTGTTTTCTCCCCATTTTTGATAGGGTTTTGCTGCTGATCATTATGAGCACTTTATAAATCTTGGACTGCAACCCTTTATCAGATGAGTGCAAATATTTTATTCCAGTCAGTAGGGGTGCCCATGTTTAGTCCATGTTTTCTTTTTCCAAGAGGAAATTTTTAAATTTGATGCAGTACCATTTGTTCATTTTTGTTATCTCTGCCAAGGGAAGCATACAGTTGAAAACACCTTTGAACTCTCAGGTTTTTATAACACACATGGGGAACTGTAGAGGTTACCCACCACACGACCTGAAAGGTCAGTTAAATAAGTGCGTGGGTATCTTGTTAACAAGAACTGGAAGAAAATCAGGAAGGTCAACCAGCTCATTCATAAAATATGATTGGGGGTGTTCCCAAGCAGTGCTTAGGGATTTTGGGGGCTCCTCCCATTGATTCTTGGCCAACAGGTAGGTAGTTCAATGCTCTGACCAGACAGTGCTGGGGATTACTCAGGTCACGCCTGCTGTACTGGAGGCCTTTAGAGTCACATATTTGGTGCTGGGGGGGGGACCATGAGAGCTGTACCTGGCAACACCTTTGGACTCATGTGGTGCTGAAGATCAAGTCAGGGTCAGCTGCATGCAAGATACACGCCTTACACCAGATTCTGTATCTCCAACCCCCAAGGAATATGTTTTGACCAATTACTATAGATTTGCATGGGTGATATCAACTATTCATAATGTCAGAAGATAAATAGAAGATAAATATTCATAAAAAGGAAATTATTTTAGCTGAGTATCTGTAGTAGGACTAAAATAAACTGAGGAGAGAGAGCTAGAGAGCGAGAGAGCAAGAGTGAGAGAGCGAGAGAGATTGAGAGAGAGAGAGAGAGAAAGAGAGAGAGAGGTTAGCACAGCCATGTTTAATGAGCTCTAGCTAGTTTTCAGACCTAGAAGCCTTTAAGGAAGTGAGAAAAACTTCTGAAGCCAGAAGCTAGATAGACCATGGTGGGCTCTGTGAATCTTTCCTTAGCCCAAGGGTCTAGCAAACACTTTCAGCATTTTACTTTCCCTCTTATTAGCAGCAGTGAGACAATCCACCGAAGTGCAGCACATACTGCCGGCCTTGCAAGAAAAAGAGATGAGACTGAATAACCTTCCTTTTAGTAATTAAGGAGCCCCAGTGCTAAACAGTGGGTAGAAATGTGAAATACCATGTCATAATCCCGCAGATCATAGACTTCGTCTATCCAAGTTTCTACTTTAACCTCTGCATAAAAATAATACAGAAAGCCAAAATGGGGGGATGGGAAGGTTTCTCAAAAAGCATTTGCTCTTCAGGAAGGTGTTCTATTGTCATTTCATCTAAGGTTAGTTTTCTCTTTTTCCTCTAAATGTTCTGTCTGGAGAAAGAAGTTTCAGCCTCGAAAAAAATCTAGTCTCACCTCTCTCATCCATTCTCGAATGGTCTTGCCAGCTTCTTGGTGCCACACGTTGTGAACAGAGTCTGTCAGCGCCACGGCAGTTACCTTACTTTTTACATCTGCTTCTCGTTGAATCATCTGTTTTAGGAGAAGAAGAATATGATAATGGCTATAATTTTTTCCCTCCTGGGTAAGACCTGCTTAGTCGCAGGTAATAACATTGCATTGAGCATGTAAAAGGCAACATGTATCTTTTGTTCAGACACTGAACACCGGCCCTGTTCTTGTGCAGAGATGTGAAAAGTATTTTCTCTTACAAAGATAATATGACTTCCATCTTAAAGCAACACAGATCTATCATTTTTTCACGGGGATTGACAAATCAAGGATTAAAGAAACCCGGAAAGGGGAGGATCCCTGAGGTTTTCTTGTAGGAGTTTCTTCCTATTTCAAAGCTTCAAGGGTTCACTGGGAGCTACAGGACTGACTTCTACAAAGTCTCATGCGATGGTACATCAGTAAAGAAACATGTAAACAGTAAAGAAACACTGACTCTCAGTTTTACTTGGCCTGCTTATCACCGTCTTGAAGTCCTCATTGTTTTAAAATGACCACAAATCTTTTCTTTTATACCTTATAAATAACATTTTACTTTGTTATATATTTATATCAGCGATTACTCTTTCACTTCTTTCTTGAGGATGTATTTAATATAACTATTTAATATATAGAATTATTATATAACTATGGGCTGGAGCGATAGCACAGCGGGTAGGGCGTTTGCCTTGCACGCGGCTGATCCGGGTTCGATTCTTCCGTCCCTGTCGGAAAGCCTGGCAAGCTCCCCGTGGTGTATTCGATATGCTAAAAACAGTAACAAGTCTCACAGTGGAGACGTTACCGGTGCCCACTGAGCCAATTGATGAACAAATGGAGGACAGTGCTAAGATGCTATTATATAACTACATAATACATAAAATATGTTATATATAACTAATATATAACTATTTAATGGATAAAATTAAATAGTTCTTAGATATATATACATATGAAACTAAAAAAATTAATGCAGCAGAGCCTTGCAAGCAAAGAAATAGCAAAAATAAAAGTTCTACATCCGATGAATCATAGAAGGTTTTATTTGGCTAGCACTAGGAATTCTAAATTTTCTTTTTTTAATGAATCACTGTGAGATACAGTTAGAAAGACTTCATGACTGAGTTTCAGTCATACAATGATCGAACATCCATCCCTCCACCAGTGTACAATTTCCACCACCAATGTACCCAGTATCCCTCCCTCTCATCCTGCCCCTCCCCCTGGCTCTATGGCAGACAATTTATTTTTTTTTTAATTTTTGTTATATTTATTTACTGAATCACTGTGGGAAAAGTTACAAGGCTTTCAGGTTTAAGTCTCGGTCAAACAATGATCAAACACCTTTCCCTTCACCAGTACTTATTTTTCACCACCAAGAACCCCAATATACCCCCCTCCCACCCCTCCCAATGCCTGTGAGGCAGGTGATTTCTACTTAACTCTCTTTCTACTTTGATTACATTATTTCAACAAAAGATGCACCATTATTGTGTAGAGTTTCCACCCAACAATCAGAACGGCTGAAAAGGAATTGTGAAATTTGTTTTCTATAGCTGGTTATGAGAACCATATGATGTCTCATGGCCGCTATTGCAGCTGCGTGATTTTGGATTTCTGATATTTTACTAATTAAGTCTGAAGGGATTTCTGCCAAGAGCCAGATAATTACAAGATTGGCTTCTGTGCCTCTGGAGCCATGACGTGCCTGAGAGCCGCTCGTGGGGGAAACTCGTGACCTCGGTAGGGCGTGAAGGATGATATGGCAGACAATTTAAAGCTACTCTTAATTTGAACAGAAAATACAAGAAATCATAATGAAAGTACAGTTAAAATGCACTAAGAAGTAGCCCTGAATCCCATAGCAACACTTATTTCTTTACCATATGTCTTTTACCTTCTTTTAGAAAAGCAACTAGGCATTATTTGCTATTAATTTCAATGAATTGCCTATCAAAAAACATTACCATAATTTTTGAGAAAGGGAGAACACTGAAGGAGGCTAAAGGATCATAAAAAGAACACCACATACCATGTTTATCATACCAAACTAAGCCCATTTGCTTTGGAATTAGACACCTCTCAGCCAACTGGCTGATTCTACTTTAAGACAATACAAACACAGGGTCTCCTTTTTTTCCCTTCCAAGATAAATGATAAAATCTACATGCAAAAAGCTCTCCTTTATACTTTTTTTTTTCATTTTTGGGTTACACTCCGTGATGCGCAGGGGTTACTCCTGGCTCTGCACTCAGGAGTCACTCCTGGCAGGGCTTGGGGGACCATATGGGATACTGGAGATCGAACCGGGTTGGTGGCGTGCAAGGCAAACGCCCTACCCGCTGTTCTATTACTCCAGCCCCTTCTTTATACTTCTTTTTTTAAAAAGAATTTATTAATGAAACACCATGAGGTACAGTTGTAGACTTACAAATTTTTGTGCTTGGGTTTCAGTTATACAATGATCAAGTACCCATTCCTCCACCAGTGCCCATTTTCCACCACCACGGATCCCAGTATCCCTCCCACCCACCCCCAATACCCCCATCCAACCCCACCTCTGTGGCAGGGCATTCCCTTTTGTTGTCTCTCTCCTTTTGGGTGCTCTGGTTAGCAAAAGAGGCATTGAATGGCAATCATGTTCAGTCTAGAGTCTACTTTCAGCATGCATCGCCTATCCTGGGAGGATCCTGCCAACATCCTTCATTTGGTGCTCCCTTCTCTATCTGAGCTGCCATTTCCCCTAGCATGTGCAGCTGGCCTCCAAGCCATGAGGTGAACCTCTGGTTCTTATCTCGGCTATTTTTGGGTGTTAGTCTCCTATTTTGTTACTTTATGTTCCCCAGATGAATGCAATATTTCTATGTCTGTCCCTTTCTTTCTGACTCATTTCGCATAGCCTGATAGTACCATGTAGTACCACCTGTATGTAAATTTCATGACTTCATCTTTTCTAACAGCTACATAGTACTCCATTGTGTAGATGTACCAAAGTTTCTTTAACCAGTCATCTGTTCTTGGGCACTCAGGTTTCTTCCAGTTTCTGGCTATTGTAAAGAGTGCTGCAATGAACAAACAAGTGCAAATGTCACTTCGACTATACATTTTTGCCTTTCTGGGATATATTCCCAGGAGTGGTACTGCTGGGTCAAATGGGAGCTCAATTTCTAATTTTTTGAGAATCGTCCATACTGTTTTCCAGAAGGGCTGAACCAGTGGACATTCCCACCAACAGTGAAGGAGTGTCCCTTTCTCGCCACATCCACGCCAGCATCGGTTGCTTTTGTTCTTTTGGATGTGGGCCAGTCTCTGAGGTGTGAGATGGTATCTCATTGTGGTTTTGATCTGCATCTCCCTGATGATTAATGATGTAGAGCATTTTCTCATGTGCTTTTTTGCCATTCGGATTTCTTCTTTGAGAAAGTTTCTGTTCATTTCATTGCCCCATTTTTGGATGGGGTTGGATGTTTTCTTCTTGTGGAGTTTAACCAGTATCTTGTATATCCTTGATATCAAGCCCTTGTCATATGTGTATTCGGCGAATATCCTTTCCCATTCTGTAGACTGTCTTTGTATTTTGGTCACTGTTTCTTTTGAGGTGCAGAAGCTTCTTAGTTTAAGATACTCCCATTTGTATATCTCTGTTTTCACTTGCTTGGCCAGTGGCATGACATCTTTGAAGATACCATTAGCTTCAATGTCATGGAGGGTTTTGCCAACTTTGCCTTCAATGTACCTTATGGATTCCGGTCTGATGTTGAGGTCATAAATCCATTTTGATCTTACTTTTGTCCATGGCGTTAGGCAGAGATCTGAGCCCACTTCTTTTGCATGTAGCTGTCCAGTTTTGCCAGCACAATTTATTAAAGAGGCTTTCCCTGCTCCATTTCACTTTTCTTGCCCCCTTATCGAAGATTAGATGATCAAATGCTTGGGAGGATATGTCAGTATATTCGACTCTGTTCCATTGGTCTGCAGCTCTACTTTTGTTTCAGTACCATGCTGTTTTAATTATTACTGCTTTGTAGTAGAGTTTGAAGTTAGGGAGGTTGATTTCTCCCATTTTCTTTTTCCCAAGAACTGTTTTAGCTATTCATGGGGGCTTATTGTTCCATATGAATTTCAGGAGTGTTTGCTCCATTCCTTTGAAGAATGTCATGTGTATCGTTTTGGGGATCACATTGAATTTGTACAATGCTTTGGGGAGTATTGCCATTTTGACAATATTAATTCTCCTGATCCATGAGCAGGGGATATCTTTTTATTTTCTTGTGTCCTCTTTTATTTTCTGAAGGAGCATTTTTTAGTTTTCTTTGAACAGGTCCTTTACTTCCTTAGTTAAGCTGATTCATTGGTACTTTGAAAGTCTGTATGCCACGAAACAATAGAACCTAGAAGAAATGGATAAATTCCTGGATTCTTATAATCTCCCAAGGCTGAATCAAGAAGATATAGAGTACCTGAATAGACCTATTAACATCAAGGAAATTGAAACTGTAATCAAAAGTCTTTTCAAAAACAAAAGCCCTTGTCCAGGTGGATTCACTAGTGAATTTTTCCAAACATTTAAAGAGGAACTATTGCCAGTTCTTCTCAAGCTTTTCCAGTAAATTGAAGAAACAGAAACTCTCCCAAACAGTTTCTATGAAGTCCATATCTCTCTAATACCAAAAGGAAACAGACACCATAAGAAAAGAAAACTATAGGCCAATATCCTTGATGGACACAGACGCAAAGATCCTCAACAAACCAATAGCAAATAGAATCCAATGACTCATCAATAAGATCATACACCATGACCAAGTGGGATTTATCCCAGGGATGCAAGGATGGTTTAACATTTGGAAATCTATCAACGTAATCCATATCACCAGAAGAAAAGATAAAAATCATATGACCATATCAATAGATGCAGAGAAAGCATTTGACAAGATCCAGCACCTGTTTATGATGAAAACCCTCGCCAAAATGGGTATAGAGGGTACTTTTCTCAATATAGTTAAAGCCTACAGCAAGCAACATCCTCAATAGGGAAAAACTGA